GGTCTAGACCGAACTCCTTATAGGAGACACATACACACACGCACATATACGTACATATACATATAACGTTATATATAGCCCATAGTAGTATATAGTAATTCGAGCTTGTTGTCCTGTTTTTACATTTTTACATTGAGAGCAAATTAAAATCGGAGTCAAATTCTGTATGTGTACACATACCTGTTCAATAAAAGTTATTCTGATTCCGAGGCTGCCATTGTTGTCCCGTACTATTCCCGTAGGCCCTGAACGCAGCGTTGGAGACAGTGAATGTGTGCGGCAACATGTGAGGCAGGCGGGTGGAGGCGTGGTCGCTCCCCGGCAGCACATGTTCCCTGCTGGGGGAGTGCTGAAAAACACCGTGAGGCTCCCGTGTGTCTGGACCGGAACACACACACACACACACACACACACACCTCCTCTGACACACACAGGAAAGCGTTACGTAACTGCCATTCTTTCATCCTCTGAACATGACATAACTCAGCTCTCACACTTCGGACATTGTTACTTGGGTTTTTTTTTAGAGGGGAACGTGTGTGTAGCCTACAGTATGACTGTGATTTCACTCTTACCTTGGATGTAATCAGATTAATAGGCATCTAATTTATGAATCCAGGTCTTTGAAGTGATCCAGACCATTTGGTTGAGCTCAGCAATAAGACTCAGCTCTTTCAGCTCTTCATTTAGTACCACTTGTGGCTTATATAATTTAGGCAAATTTAGCAATGTTTTGACCTATGATTGGTTTATCTACATATACTGTACATATATTACCTGAAGCTGCAGTTGGTCATTTTTATTAAAAATATTTGTGTCATATTCGCTGACACTTTCACTATATCCTGACAGTAGTACATGAGAGATAATGTGTGAAAATTGCATAGCATTTCATAATTCCTTTAGGAGTGCTAGGATGTGCTCCTGAGTGCCTTGGTACTTGTAGAACTTGTTACGGTCCATTGTGTAGGTTCTAGTGTCATCTAGTATTTGCAGACTGCAACCATTTGAATACAGCTCTGTGTTCTAAGTGTGTAGGATAAACTACAGTGGCTCAAAAACACGTGAAAGGGCCTCTGTAAAAAAATAAATAGCTTATTTAAAAGTAACAAAAACATACCTATGAACATATTCTATTTCTGAACAATAGATCCTCCTAAATGTTACATATACAAAGAAGAATTAAGACAAACATGAGGATGCATTTAGACCGTTAAAAACGTGTATTGGATCATTGTCTTTCAGAATTACATTCATAGACATAGAAATTAATTGCTTGAATAGAATAATGTAACTGAAAACATACATTTCGTTCAACCATTATGAATTTCCTTAATTTGTGAAGGAGGTTCAGAGTACAGGAAGGATGAGGAAAAACGGTAAGTCAAGATGAAAAAATAAGACAAAAACAAAAATAACGGAAATTATGTCAAAACAGCATATGTGGTAGAAGGCTCTGTGAGCGACGGGAAGTTGAGCAGGTTTGTCTGCACCAGCTCTTAATTTATTACCAGTGACTAAACAGTGTAGCACCAAGTTAAAGGATGGGTTTTCATGTACAGTTTAACACCCAGTATTGCAAATCTTAATGGTACGCTGCTCCTGGTTACCATTTTTAGTTGTGCAGCGATTGATAACAGATGGGAAGAATTTCGAAAGAGACATCCTTGCGAGTCACCATTGCACTCAAACACAAACAATACACAGACTATATTCATGATGTACGCAGCTCCCTGGATGATTTTTTTTTTTTAGCTCTCCAGCTAAAACTTTAATCGTCCGGTTCAATCTAGTGGCACATTCAAGACTGAAAAGAAGGAGCAGTTTGGATGAACTGGAAGACTGTAAGATTTACACAAAGATGGAAGAATGGCCAGGAGGATAATTGTCAGCCACAACTTCAAACGTGTAAAGTCTCCAGTAGGTAAAGGTAAGTTACAATCAGAGGAAAGTCTACAGAGATAAATTATAACAAAGCTACAGAATTGCTGTGTCTGACTTGAATTTCTCCTACAGGGGATCAATAAAGGTACATCTTATCTAGTCTAGCTCTGAATGCTAAGAAAGGACGTCACTCCAAATATAAACATGTTCTCTGGAAGTGCAGGGAATTTAGTTTGGGGCTCGGGCTGGTTATCCTTTTTTCAACAGCAGCGCCAATACTAGGGCTGGGAACTGATATCAATGCTGCAATCGAGTCATCTTATCAGTCCGATTCTTCAATGATTCCCTTATTGATTCCTGATCAATTTTCTGTGCAGACCTAAACAGACCTGTGTCTGTCTGTCATTATCTAAAGTGGATGCAGTGAGAGAATATTTGTACAGCATTTGTTTTCATTTAGGCTTTCTTAGTCAAAGACTAAAGACATTAATACATTTATACAAACACATGGCATTCCTGGAATTTAAGGCCATGTTTCATGTGTAAAAAGATGATCACTGCAGATCGAAGGATCATTTTACACACAGCTTTCTCTCCACCATGACTCCTTGTTGCGAGTATATAGCAGTGTAGGCGCACAAGACCGACTTCATTGTTTTGCAATATGGAACTGTCACAATAACTGCGACAATAAAACAAATGGATAAGAATCCTTGATTCCCATCCCTAGTCAAACCAACGCCTGAGTTTCACTACAAATACCCAAACAAACGTTTTTGATCTATTACGCTTACTATCTACATTTCGTTCTCAATTAAAGGAGTCTATGGGATTCAATTGCATCTAGTTGCAAACTGAATCTAACTGAATAGCTTCCAAGTAGGGATGGGAGGATATACGATAGAATTGCAATAAAAAAACATTCAGATATATTTACTGTGAATATTGTTAACCGTGAATATCCTTACGTGGCTTGACCTGAAAAAGCTGTCTAGCTCACCAGTGTACAGTCTTACATTGATTTCATAATTTATTTTGAACAAGGGGACAAGGGGAAAATTGTCTAAACACAAGCAGCTATACAAGAAATGTACTGAAATGAAACTGGCCAGATGGAGATGTAAATCAGAAACTATCTGAGCACACTTGATTACTACTCACATTTCAGTGAAGGGTTACAAAAATATTGAGCATCGACATCAATCCAGGAAGCTTTCAGCTACATTATGAACATGTCCTTTTGAGAAAAATCAGGGCTGCTTTAAATCAATAAGTGCTTATTAAGCCTCTTAAATCACATGGCTGGTGTGTATTTTGCTGATCAAGAAAGATCAGTAATTTGTTAAAATAAAAAATTAAAAATTAAAAACAAAAATAACATATACACCTTGTTCATGAAGGTATTCCCAAATTCCCATTAATTGCTGTGTTGCACTTGACAGATCTGTTAACAGAGATCACATTTTGAGATGAGAGCAAACGAATATACAATTGCTTTGCTTCTAATTGCATACAGTTTCAAAAGGACAGCCTCTCTCTCTGACGCCTCGTGATTCACTCGTTCAAAGCTTCTCTCCGCAGACACACTTGGATCATCATGTGTTATCATCAATTCATGTTGTTCTTGATGAGTATCAGGCAAGACGCACACAAAGCCTCACACACTCTGGATCGGATGCCCCCATTTACTCCAAAAAAAAAAAAAAAATACAAAAAAATCCACACACACACCATTTTTATCACCAGCGGTAACAGTTCTGAAGAAGAGCACTTGGAAACATGGTGAAGGAACTGTATGGCTTCTCATAAGACCATAAAAAGGAGTTAAAATGATCTGTGTTTATAGTCAGAAAGAGCAGCAGTAGTTGTTTATAGGCCACCCAAAGGCGCTACAGACGGAGTCCTGATTTTGTTGTTGACTTGTGCTGATGACTATTTGAGGTACTGAACTCCAGTTTAATACAGTACAGCCAGTGTGGCCAGGCGTTGCCCATAGTGTGTATGGAGGGGTTTCTATAGAACAATATGGCTGCCAGCTGAGGCACTTAGATCCTGATGGGACCAAAAGCTCATTAAAGATGTAGGTTCTGGTCATTTTGTAGCTGTAAGGGATGTAGCCAAGGTGTTCATGCCTTGTGTGTTTGTCTGTGTGTGTGTGGCAGAGGTGCTATCACTCTCTTATGCTAGCAGAATACGAGAACTGGGGAAAATGTGCTTTCTGGCCAGGGTCCTCACAGTCCAGACTGTTATCTGTAGGACAAGACAGCACATGTTAGCCAAGAAAGCAGACCTTGATCATTGACAGTAGTGGATCGCAGTGGTGGGTGTGTCACAGTGCATTGACAGCGACTAGCATTAGTGGATACTTACACTTGTCTGGAGGAGTGAGTGTGATGGTCTGCGCTGTGAACTCCTCATCAAAGTACCGGGTGTCTGTCTCTGATGTCACTTGCGGTCTGAAGAGTGGGGTGAGCTGACGCAGGAAGGAGAGAAGATGGGTAAACTGGCTGTTCCATTGGGAACATACTGGGTTTATAAAATGACTACATGAAGACAAGGGTCTAAATACTGTCTGTGTACTTTGTGCATACCTGAAATTCAAAAAATATATCCAGTAGGGGGCAGACCAGGGCTGTATCATCCCTTACTGACACTGTGTTATCTTCCACAATGTTAACATCGCTATGTTGTTAATGTGGGTAATAGTTAGGGTTGGGCACCGGAACCTGGTGCTAATGTGGATACTGGCAGATGTTCTAAGTATAGACTACTCTGTCTGTTCACTGGCCATTTCCAAGGCTAACAGCTGCACTTGACACTGCACATATTTTTGACCTCATAGCCTATTTCAAATGAACTGAACAATACACACATCCCCTGAACCATGACCAGCAAACACAATGGTTCAGATTATTATTAAACCATTCAATTCCTACTTTCTTTTGATTCTCATTCATAGAGATGAATTTAATATGTTTGTTATTCTGTTCCTTACAGCGCAGTTCAAAACCTGTATTAAAGTATTTTATGTACAGGCGATTGACGGTAAGCGAGGTAAGTGTCTGAAATCAGATATGAAGGTTGACTAACACAGCCAGACTGTGTCTGTGACTAAAAAGCAAACGCCAGTCTCACTTCCTCTATCCTAAAGATGTCTTACCTTCTTCTGCACCACATCCTGCCAGTTGATGGTGATGAAAAATTTGTGAGTCATCACTTCTTTGGCATCCTCAGGACCTCCACCTAACCTGTCAGTCCAAACAAGATCAAGTAAGAATCAAGTAGGTATTTAAAAAATTAACAAAGGAACAAACAAACAAAGGAACAAACAAACAAACACACAAACACACACACACAGACGATCGGTCCGGTCAGATACCTCTGTTTGGGGTCCTTCTTAAGGAGGCCGGCCAGCAGGGACTTAGCCTCTGGCGACAGGTTCCTAGGGAAGCGGATCTCCTCCATGAGAATGAGCTCAAACAAACGCTCATGGTCTTGGTTGTAGAAAGGCAGGCGGCCACACATCATCTCATACATGACTACACCCAGACCCCACCAGTCCACTGCACGGCCATAGTCATTATCTTCTAGTACCTGAGAAACAGACATTTACCTGATTAACATTTCTCAACAACGACAGCAAGAAGTGACTTTGACTTTGCACTTCACTGAGGTTCTTACCAAGGCTTGCTCAACTGTTATTGGAGCACAGAGCACAAAGGGCCGGGACTTAGGATAAGAGGACTTGGTAGTGCATTATGTGCATTTACACTGAATGTTAAAATCCATATTAGGGGCATTCTGATACATTGGCCTTTTGCATCTTGCATGTGTGACCTATTTAAAACTAACAATGATTTATCTAATAATTCTCGAAGCAACCTGGGAGTTATATTTGATTCAGAGTGGTCCTTCAATGCTCATGTAAATAAAGTGGTTCACTCCCACTTTGCTCAACCATGAGCCTGATCGCTGCATGAGACCCTCTGGCAGGGGATACTCATGGTTCCAAAATTTTGAGTAGTCACCAAAGGTGAACAGGCTTGTGCTGTCTGGACCCCTCAAATGTGGAACTCCCTGCCTAGTGATCTCAGGCCACTTTTAAATTTCTGCTAATTTCTAACTTTTATGGTTTGGCTTTTTCTTAACTAGTATTTGCTTTAACATTTACTTTTTCTCCAGGGTACTTAAACATCTCAGAGACGAAAGAAGAAAATCAGCCTGAACTGGCCCACAACTCTCAGTGTTGACACTTATTTGGTCCAAATATACCAAATCCAGTAACAGGTCAGATACTGTGCTCATGTACTCTTGTAATCATCTTCATCAGGATTGTATATATTTTTCATTCATTCATTCATAGTCTTATATTTTTTATTATATTTGGAAATATTCTTATTTTGTGATTCTTATTGCACTACATTCCCCTATACTGCTGAGTCTAACTTGAGTTTCTCCTATGGGGGACCAATAAAGGTACATCTTATCTTATGTAGGCGGAGGAGAAGCAATGTCAGCAGTCTGGAGATATTTTAAGCAACTTTTACAAGAACATAGCAAAATTTAATTTGACACAGTAAGAAAGTGAGGAACATCCGATGATAATATGAAAACATGTTTTCAAAGTTATTGCTAGAACTCAAATGAAATTATTAAGTACTTATGTTTGTATTTGGTTTTCAGACTGTATTTGGTCTGCAAACATGTTTCAGTGCATCCCTTGCAATGCTTAGTAGTGAAAGAATTGTTTATTATTAAGTATCAAGTAAATTATTATAGGTTAATTCAATTGAATTCAATTCAATT